CATGCTACCACGCCCGGCTGATTTTTTTATTTATTGCAGAGATGAGGTCTTGCTGCTCAGGCGGGTCTCGAACCCACGGGCTCAGGCAATCCACTCACCTCAGCCTCCCAAAGGCGCGGGATGACAGGCTGAGCCACCGAGCCCGGCTGAACCTCTTGTTTTGTAAAAGCCCCTGGCTTAGAAGAGCAAGCAGGAGGAAGAAGAGAAAGGCAAGGAGGACTAGGAGGGGAAGGAAAAAGCTCCCTGTTCTCCAGTCAGGAGACAGAGACTAGCCCCAAAAGTAAAAGTCTCTTATTGGGTGAGCATTGTTTGCAGAGAAACAGGCCAGAAGCAAAGTTGAGTTGCTGGGGGAGGGGAGAGCATTGCACATCACCTCCAGCCTATATGGGGTGCACCCGTGATTCCACCATCTGCAGCAGCAGCGTACCCTTTGTGGCTCTGAGGGTACTCAGAAAGGCAGGGTTACCTTGCCTAGTTGGGCCCGCCTACCCCTTTCTGCAGGACCCTGCAGCTTTCAGAGGTCAGGAGCTCTGGGACAGGACTGCTGGGCCAGTGTGAAATTGCCATGCCCCACCCTGAGCGACCAACCTTGCCTGCTCCCATGGGCAGCTCCCTGCTGTTGAAGCGGAGCAGAGCACCACCCTGTTGGGCTTGACATCGATACCCCTCAGGCTACTGGGAGGTCAGGCATGGGATTCTGAACTGTGAGTCATCAACAACTCGCTGGACAACAGATTTAAAAAATAATCACGCATTTCACACCCATTGGACTCGCAGAAAATTATAAAGCCTGACGCTACCAAGTGATGAGGAACAATGGGGGCTTTTACATGCTGCTGGCGGGAGCTGGGGAAGATTGTATTAGCCTGAAACTTATACAATTTGGGGGACCTTCTTAATAGAAGAATACAAAATTAAGCAGAGTCATGGAAGGGGCTCGAGTAACTGGGGGGTCTTGAACCTAGTTAAATGCCATCACCTTCCCAGTAAATCTGCTCCTGGGGTGTGTAATTAGAATAACCCTTTTGGCAGCAATGTGGTAAAATGAAAATGTGCATCTCCTACGACCCAGCAAGCCAAGTCCTCCATGTGGTTCTGGGAAACATTTCCAACATGTAACTACAGAGGCAAACTCTAGAATGTTCTTGGCAATGCTGTCTACAATAGCTAAAGGTAACAAATTGGAAATAGCCATTAACAGAATAGACAGAATAGCCATTAACAGACATTAACAGAATAAAGAAACAATGACAGCATATATCGATTTCAAAACATAATGCTGCCTGGAAAGCATGTTGCAGGATATATATATAGTGTAATACTATTTTCATAGTGTGAGAATATGTAAAATAACATCATGGGTAGCTCATATATGTGCAACAAAACTCTCAACTGTGCTTGGGAGTGAGGAACACTACATTCAGCCTACAGGGAGCCCCGAGGATGGAGGGAGGAGAGCGGATACAGAAAAAGCAGGATGGCCACAGGATTTTAGGGACAAAGCCTCCTAAAAAGCTTTAGTTCCTTAGTACTAAAAAGCAAATAAGACACAACGTTAAGATTTGATAAAGTTGGGCAATACTTATCAGGGTGTCTGTTAAAGAATTATATATACTTTTCTGTAGTATGTGAAATATTTCCTAATTATTTTGTTTTTAAAATTGAAATGAAATTCACATATCATAAAATCAACCATTTTTAAATGACTGGTCCGGTGGTATTTAGTACACTCATGGTGTTGTGCAACCTCCAACTCTATCTAACTCCAAAACGTTTTCATTTTCCCCAAAGGAAACACCAATCTGATTAAGCAATTGTTCCTTGTTTCCCCCTCCCCTCAGTCCCTGGCAAGCCACCAGTTTGTGTTCTATCTCTGTGGATTTACCTGTTCTGGATATTTTATACAAATGGAATCATACAGTTTGTAACCTTTTGTGTCTGGCTTCTTTCACTTATCCTAGAATTTTCAAGGTTTAGCAACTATGTATCCACTCTTCATAACTTTTTATGGCTGAATCATATTCCATTGCATGGATGGATATATCACGTGTTGTTTATCCAGTTCATGGTTGATGGACATTTGGACTGGCTCCACCTGTGGTTATCGTGGATAGTACTGCTATGAACATGCATGTGCATGTACTTAAGCCCCTGCTTTGAATCCTGTGGTTATATACTGAGGAGTGGCATTGCTGAATCATAGGGTAATATTTTGAGAGGCCACCAGACTGTTTTCTATAGTGACTGAACTATTCTACATCCTCACCAGCAATGAAGGAGGGTTCCCATTTCTCCACATCCTGGCCAATAATCCTTGTTATTTTCTGTGGGTTTTTTTTTTTTTCTTTTTCTTTTTGGGATAATAGCCATCCTAATGGGTGTGCAGTGGGATCTCACTGTGGTTTTGACTTCATTTTCCTAATGACTGATGATGTTGAGCATCTTTTCATGCATGTATTAATCATTTGTGTATCTTCCCAGGAGAAATGTTTGTTCAAGTTCTTTGTCCACTCTCTAGTTTGGTTGTTTGTCTTTTTGTTGGTAGTTGTAATATTCCATAATTTTAAGAAGCCCTCCCAGGGGTGGCTGGTGTCTCCTTGGGCCCTTTAATTCTCTACTCCTTCCACACAACAAAGCACATATATAAAGCTTTGTATTTACAATCCATTCAGAGGAAAACTTTAGGGTTGGGATTGGCTCACCTATTCTCTCCCAGGCACTGTGTGAACCCACCCCGATCTAGAGAGAAAGGAAGATACTAGGAGATGATTTGTACATTCAGGGCTTCTCAGGAAATGGGGAAAGGGAGTATTAGAGCAGGGTTGAGGCAGAGGAGAAAGGACTTCCAAGACAGCTGAGAGAAAAATGTTCTGCGGGAGGGGGAATTATTTCCTCAGGAAGCCCCTACTACTGCAGGCTGCCAAACCACCCCAGAGGAGTAAGTTTCCACTAATGGATGGTTTGAAGGCTAGGTGGGAGGCTCCCATTCCCTCCTCAGAGATCAGATCACCTTGCCTGCCTGGGCTGTTCCTACCCTCAGGGGTACTCCTTTCCCTATGCTGAACTAACAAGAGGAGGCCAGGCCATTTCTTCTGCACCACCTAAGCCCAGCACTCCTGAGCGCAAGAGGAGGGAGGTACACCAGAGTCTTTTGCAAAAGCACGAAGCCAAATATACTCTCTTGTGATTTGTGTGACAAACTCTGTATTCCTCCTCTCCCCCCACACACGCACCAAGTCACTACAAAGGCAGGGTAAGCCACTCCTCAGGGCAAGTCAGGAGACACTAAGATGAGGGGTTTTTTTTGTTTTCTGTTTTGTTTTGTTTTTGCTTCAAAACCTCTCTGTCCCATCACATCCCACCACCTCTCAAACAACCTAATTAAGAAATGGATAAAGGACCTGGACAGACATTTCTCCAAAGAAGATATACATCTCTCTTTGGTCTTGAGTCTCCACCTTTGTAAATACCCCTTTGAGAAGTCTCGGAAGCAACCATCTGTCCCTTACTCCAAGATCATGGACATGCTATGTGCTCATTTTTAGAAATGCAAACTTGGGCAAACACAGGTAAGAGAGACAGAGAAGAGAAGAGGAGCCCTGTGAGGAAAGAAAGACCCAGCCGATGCTCTTGGGTGGGGACCAGCCCTGCAGGAATTCCTGCATTTGCCCTGTGCCAGCGGCAAATACATTCAGATGGCCACTGTTCCAGGTTTTGCCTGGCAACCTTGAACATGGCAGGGATTGGAGAAGGCAGAAGAGCTGGGTGGGTAGCTGGCTGCCCTTGGTCAAGTCCTCCCCCTACTCTGGGCCCCGGTGTCCCCATCTATAAACAGTGGGGCTGTGCTCACTGGTGTCCAGGGTTTCTTCCAAGTGTGACTTCTTTGATTCTGGTTATCCCCAGAATTTGAAATCACTGGATACACCCTGGTTTGGGCTCAACTCAACCCTCACCCCAAGTTCACTGATAGCCCCCTTTCTCCCTTCCCCCCAGCCCTTCTCGGAGGGCAGAACCCGTTTCCTTTGGTGTTCACCCCCACTCCCCACCCCCTTCCAACCAGGCAGTAAGAACCTGGGATCCAGTCTTTAGAGTCAGGTTCCAACATTTTCTTTGCCAACCAACCCTCTGTCGCTGTTTCTGCAGAGGGAGCCCTGGAAAATGGGTGTTACTGCTCTGGCGACACACCACACCCACAGAATAAATAAAGCACATCCTTCCCGGGTAAGGGCCAGTGGTCCCCGGGGAGCTGAGGCGGAGGGAGGTCTGAAGCCGAGAGACTCAGTGAGCACTATACCTTGGTGCCCACAGTGGGAGACGCTTTCCCTCAGCCACAGGCAGCGGCGGGGCGGCTCCCGCGCGGGGCGGGACGACGGCAGGTGCAGGGGCGGTCCTGCTCAAGGTCAGCCGGCGCCGGCCGCTCTCGCCAGCCCGCTCACCCCCACCCCATGCAGGGGGCAGAACGACTGCGGCAGAGCAAGCGGTGGCCTCTGTTTCATTCCCAGTTCCAAGTTGCAGCAAATACGTGCACAGGCCAGAAACTTTAAAAAATGGCCAGAGGAGAATAATCCGGATTCAGTCCCTTCCCACCTCCGAACCTTGGCTGGTAATTCTAAGGTTTCTTCCCCTTTTTTTTTTTTAAACGACACCTTCTCTTTGGCAAAAGCTGGGCGCTTCTACACCCCAGGGACAGAGCGCGTGGATGAGTTTCCTCTGCCGCCAGTGCCAAGTGGGTCGGGCGCGCAGCTTTGGAACCGGTGGGCAGAGTGGACCCGGCCCGGCCGCTCCAGCCTCTGGCCCAGGTGGCGACCTTGGATTTCCCATCACAGTCTTGAAGACTCTTCCCCCCACTTCGTTGGTCTAGAAGGGCCGGCAGGTGCGCGGGGTTTTTCCAGGCGTAGACCCCTCTCCCTGCCCCGCTGCCCCGGGAAGCCGGGGAGCCTGCGGATCCAGCCCACCCCGCCCCTTCCCCGGCCCGGGCGCCGGGCGCGCGAGCCACTCACAAACTCGAAGATGAAGAGCAAGTCCGGGAAGGGGACG